CACACACACACACACACCCACCTCAATGGAGCCGGGATAATTGGGAAAGACTCTAACTCTGTTCTTGGTGTTTTAATCAGGACAATGCGATCTACAACCTGCTCCCAGACATCATCAGTCGCCTGTCCGACCCAGAAAGAGGCATGACCTCGGAGGACTTCAATACCATCATGAAGTGAGTTGGATGGCTTTTCAGTATGTGTCTAGTCCCATTTGCTGCCTTTGTCCACAGAGGATTTGCCCCGGGACGAATCGTGACTTGCTTAAGAAGCTTTCGAGGAGAAAGTTGACAGCTTTGCTATTTTGAGAGCTTTGTTTAGATGCTGTATTTGTGTGTTTTCAGACAGCTATTCTCCTACATCACCAAAGAAAGGCAGACTGAGTCTCTGGTAGAAAAACTCTGTCAGCGCTTCAGAACTGCCAAGTGAGTACATCTCCACCTCCTTCTTTTCTCATCTTCACACCTCTGACCTGCGTCTTTTATGTGTTCTTGTTTTTTTTCTTTTCCCTGCTCGTTCATGAGTCTATCCTGCAGTATTTCATTTGTGCAAGATGAAGGGGTGAACATGTGGGTAATTAGTGGGTGTTTGTGAAGAGAGCGACAATTAAAGAGTTCACAGTTCAGTTTACCTATCGCCTGCACTCTGACACCTTATTCACTCATTTTGTCATGGAAACTGTCTTCCTATATAGTAGAGGAGCGTGTCTAGAACAATTGGCCTGGCGAGGCTTCAGTCTGCCTCTGACTCATGCTTCATCCATACTCAAAGGACGTTTTATATTACACAATGGCAAAGTGAATTTAGGCAGAAGATGTTCCTGGAAAATGAGATTTGGTCGTAATGCCAGCACAAAGCCATATTCAGGAGCAATGAGCTTTTACGTTGAGGATCAAACATTTCTATGCATTTCACTTTCTAATCAGGTTTAGTCCCTGTGACTCTCATTCTACTTCTCTCCTCAGGACCGAGCGTCAGTGGTGTGACTTGGCCATGTCTCTGTCTCTGCTGTCCATGTGTGAGCGTGGTTTTAAGAGGCTGCAGGAATGCTGGGAGTGTTACAGTGACAAGTTAACTGAGCCCGGAGTCTACCAGCCACTGCTCTCCATCACCGCCAAGCTCCGCCGTGGGGCCAAACCCCAGTTTAAGGTGCTACATAAATCTCCTTTTCCAAGTAGTTTTTATTTTGATGTTCTCTTTGTGTTTACTGATGGCAACTTCTTGTTTCCCCAGGCCCAGGTGGATGAGTTTGAAAAGCGCCTCACAGCGGTTCACACCCGGGGGCTGGAGAATGTAGAAAGTCCTGAGATGGATGAGGAGAACCAGAAACAAGGAGGATCCACTGAGAAGACGGTCATGCAAACACCTCAGCCCGCCAGAGGCCGTCCGAGGACAAAGAGAGGTCAGTGGGATTTCACTTTGTGCAAATGTGGATGCAGAAACATTTTTTGTTTTGTCATATAAACATTTTCCTGTTTTTGTTACAGGTCAAGCAAAACCCTCAGTTTCTAGCCGTGGTGATGACAGTTTTGTGACACCTCAGAAATCTCGCAAGTCCAAGAAACCTATTATCTCCTTCAGCAGTGACGAAGAGGAGGATGAAGAGGGTAAGTGCATTCACTTAATTATTAAACATTCAACTTAAAGTTCTTTTCCATTAAGTGTTTGGCCCATAACATGTCAGAAAATAGAAAACTCCCATTTTAGAAGCCAGAACAAGGGAATTATATCAGCTAGTGGTATTATGTATGGACATTACTTCACTAAGTCAGTAATGTACTTCAGATCAATACGACAAAGTTCAGAGTGTTTGGAGCACTGAGCTGAACTACACTGTGTCTAAGAAGATTTAGGATTGTTGTACCTCAGTTGCTCTTAAAGGCGAGCTGTGCATTGCAGCAACACTAATCCAAGATCTGGGGATATATCTAATCAATTTTATAGAAAAGGATTGAAGGAAACAATCTACAAATTACCAAAGATAGTGTCAACTTAAAGTTAGATTAGGTAGTGAACATGTAGTTTCATTATACAGGGTGAGATTTTCTTTTAATATTCTCCTAATTAAGTTATGATTACTGAAATATTTCAGACTGAACCCTTAAAACCATCTTGAGCACATTGTTTCTGTGGCAGCTCTGAGTTCATGACTGGTCCCGGAAACAGCCCATAAGTTGTCTTGCTTGATCAACTCCTAATCCTCATTTGTTTTTTTCATCAGATGCTGTCATGGCGGATAGTGAGACCCCTAAAGTGACGACGCCCATCGCCCGCACATCCCGACGAGCTCGCCTCAGAAACTGATCCGTCTTCTGTCTTTTTGTCTTGTTTCTATGTTTCCTTTTTAATCTTTTATCCTGTTTTCTGTGTTTCCTTTTTAATGTTTTATCTAAAATGATGCATTTTCACTTTTTAATCTTTTTGTATATTTTTTTATTTTTTTGAGATATTGGTTTTTAGCACCAAACAAAAGTAGTCCGATGATGTATCTGATGACATAGAATCAAGATTGTCTTTAATAAACCTGGTTGTGGTTTTGATAAGAAGTCTACGGCTGTCTGTCTCTGTTTGAGCTGCGTCACTCACTGAAGAAAACTCACTAACAGATGTGTGAGGGGTTGGGGTGTCTGCTGGGTTATGTCAAGTAAATTTATACCATCATTACAAGCAGCTTTGAATGTCTGCTTGTATTATGTGTTTGGACAGCGGTGTTTAATGGGTTGTCACAGCTTGCCCAGACAGTGTTACTACCCCACATGCATCTCCACTTCATTTTCCTCCATTTGCTTTTCCTTTCCTAAAGCATGTTTTGTCAAATCAGATTTCAGTCTTTATAAGATTCACTGTATTCCTCACCGGTGATTGTGGCATTTTGTTTATTTACAATGTTTGTTTTTTTTTCCCTTCTTTTTCTGTCTGACACATTTGCGGTTGCCTAGTTGGCCGCCTCTGTACTCCTGTAATCAATCTCTTTTGTAGGTCTCCCTCTGCTCTCTGCCTCCCTCCCATCCTCCTCCTCCTCCTCCTACTCTCCATTGCCTACTTTTCCTCTTACAGCTCTCCTCTCTTCACCAACATCTCATGCATGGTAGTTTAACCCCCCCTCTCCCTCCGCTCATCGCTAATCTCTCTCCTTTTCGCCTACTCCCTCTCCCACACGTTGTCCTCTCCGAAAAGATGAGAGGGGTGCATTTCTGTATGTGTGATTGATATGTTATGTAAAGACACTTGCCAACAACAGGCTAACAGGCTTGTAGAAGCAGTTAGGTTTTATCTGAGGACAAATCTGAGTTAAATGTATTCAGTGGGTGTTAAGTATGCAAACATGAGTAAATCGCCCTGTTTATAACTTTCAGTGGTGTACAAAGATGAATTCTGATTGTTCGTGCTAGGTATGAAAACACATTTTGCTCACCGGAGCTGCCTTAATCCTTTTTTCTTATTTCTTTAGAGAAAATATTCATTGATCACATGCCCGGTGTCTGACGTACATTTGTAATTGCCGGGGTTTATTTACTTGAAATAATCAGAGGCTGCTGAACTTTGAGGTCGGTGTGTTGGATCGTTCAGCTCCTGCCAGTGTTGTAATTTGGCGGCAGGGGGTACAGCGAGCAGATGGCACTGACAGACTGTAACTTACCCAACAGAGAGGGGAGGTCAGCGCATGCTGGGAAAGACCACAGAGACAAAGGGGAGAGATGGGAGGCGAATAGGCACGAGGAGCATTGTTACCACGTGGGAAATGCATAATTCAGATGAAGTCGTGACATAAAATGTGAATCCTTCCAGTTTGATCGCTTCATAACTCACTGGTCTCTGATGAGGCATTAGCTGACCTCTGACCTTGCTTTGTGCAGCACAGTGGTATCAGTATGGCTCACAGAGTGCACAGTACACACAGTCACCTTGGCAATGACGATCACTCTCTCCAAGGCTATGACATCACTACAAAGAAAAGGAGATGAGGAGGAGGAGGAGGAGGAAGAAGATGCAGTGGGTTGGGGCGGGGAGGGGGTCGACTCTGGCTCTACAAAACCTCTGCAGCATCCCAAGCTGATGCCCCAACATTCAGCTCCTGCCAAGAGGACAGACGCAAGAGGAAGAAAATCATCCTTTTCAATTCCATCACAAAGCGAGGAGTAGGAGGAGTCAGCCGAGTGAGATAGTGATGCTCCCAGCAGGTGCCAACAAGTGAGAGGTAGCCGAGAGACTGAGAAGGAGGGAGATGAAGAGTCTGTGAGAGCAGAAGACACCCAGACCTCTGAGAGAAAACAACAGGTGAGCACGCTTGCATTTTCTTTCTATGGTTAGATATTCATGTGGAACAGTTTATTTTGGAGCTTTTTAAATTGCAATAGTTACTTATCAAAGAGAATCACAGTGAGTTAAGTTAAAATGTATTACAGCCACAAATGGAGCTTTATACAGTCAGATGGGTTTTTAAAGCAAACTATACATTTAGTAGAAAATGCTTTTCCACAGTTCATACTGCAGTAAAACCTGAAAGGAACCTCAGAATAGTAAAAGAACTTTTTGAATTGAGACTTTAACACAAAGTCTTTCTTTTCTTACTTTTATTTGTACTTTTAAAAATGATGAAATCCTCTCGATTTTGCAAGAGATCGCACCTAATTAATACTTTTTGAACCACTAACTGAAACATAAGTTGAGGATTATTTAATGCAACACAAAGTTTTCCTCTTGAATTAGTGAGGAAGACTTGATTTCATTATTAAAATCTATAATAAATGTGTCCAGATTCTGGCTGTTTGAACAGGCTTTTTTAATCTAGATTTCAAAGCCTAACCGGGGGGGCGGGGGCTGCAAATTAGCCTCGGCTAGACGCACTAAATGTATTACATTTGTTGCATTGCTTATCTGTATGTAACCATGTTTATCTTCATGGTCCATGTTCGTAAAATTAAAAAATGGATAAGTTTTATAATCCTGAAGACAAAGACTGAGCATTGGTTAAACAGTGCCTACAAAGACATTTGACTATTAGAACTATTAATTAATGTCATCAAGATCACAACATAATTTTCTGTAAAAGATTTTTCATAAATATTTTATATTTACAGCGTTTATAGAAGTATTTTTAATTTCATTTGTATTTGGGTGTTTGCAATCAGTGTATTTTCAGTCCTCCTGCACCAGTTTTTCCTGTCCGTCATCTCTGCTGCCATGCTGTGTCCTGTGCTCCTTTGTGCCACTCTGCTCCTCCTGACACCCCTGGAGATCACAGAGGCTCGCGCTCTGCACCCTTCTCCCGATGCTGTGCAGGTACGAAGGGAGGGAGGGGGAGGGGAGGCGAGGGGAAGGCTTGGAAAGGAAGAAAAGAGTGGACTGAGGAGGATTCAGAGTGGATGAGGGATACAAGAGACGGAGGGGAGGGAGAGCAGGAAAGAATAAGGAGAGAGTAATGAAATGTATCACTGATTGAATTATTCTCCCGCGTACACTCCCTGGCAATTAAATTTAATCTTTTTTCCCCTCCTGTAGTTTATGGAGCAGTTTCTGGAACGATACAATGACCTTTTGACCCTGGACGACCTGGAGAACCTGTTGAACACCCAACCGGAGGAGCAGTCCACCTTCTCCTCGGGGGTCAAAGCAGCCGAGTACCCCAAATGGGCCGACACACAGACGCAAGCCGAGACCCCCTGGCTGCGCCTGCTGAAGGGGGCTCTGGCCAACCAGAAGCGTGCAGAACCAGACAGGTCACGGAGGGGATGGAACCGAGGATGCTTTGGGCTGAAACTGGATCGGATCGGGTCTATGAGCGGATTGGGCTGTTAGTGGAGAGAAAGTAAAGACTGATGACATCCTTCTTAGAGTATATTAAGGAAAAACACACATGCAGAGACATGCAGTGAAGGATGTTTACATGCGTGTAGACTACATGTAGTATGGTGTAAACTCGCAGCATTGCTAATGTGGTTTCATCCAGCGTAGGCACTCTACCATAGATCAGACGCTTCACACTATTGTGGCTGTTTAACAGAGCAGGTGTAGTTTATTCCATGTGTAAGTATTAAACTGAATATTAGAACTTTGTGAGCTATGTTTACATCAAATGATCATCTTTGGTTGTTGGGCTTGTTTTTTTTTTTCAAAGTAAATTGGCACTTTATGTGTTTCCAGCTTTGTCTGCGTACAGTAAATGTAAAAGTGTTTAGACATTTTGTGGCCGGGGGGGGGTCTTATGTAAAATCAGGTGTAATGGAAGTGGATATCCAAAAATGATGGCACCTGTAATTCCTGCTGTTTGTTTTCATGTTTACTTATGATTTGCATGAATAAATTGGATTTGACATTTGATGTGTTCTGTGTAATTGTGAGATTCAACATCCACTTCTGTCCCTCATTTAAATCCCACCTTGTTGACTCTACTGACACGCGTCATCTCAATTTGTCCTTCAAAGTGGAGCTTCAAATTCTCCTGACAGATATTATTTTGACTCCTGATACTTTATTAAATATTCCAACGACTATTGGAGGGAAGTTACATTTCTTCCCACATCATTCTGGAGTATGGGTGGCCAATCGGTATGAAAATGTATGAAGACCCTCGGCTAAGTCCAAAAACTGATTTCATTCTGGCATTACAGCCAAGTTGCTAGGGCAAAAATACTGAAGCGTGCAAATACATGTCAGATAATCTCATAATGTTCCACCCAATAATTATTTTTAAAATGTGTGTGTATATATATATATATATGATGCAATTTTACATTTGGCAGTCTTTGTACCAGCAATGTGCCCAGTTTAAAAACATTTCCTTTAAACGTGGAGGGAATATGCAGAGGTTCAGATCAAGACTTTTTGACACTCTTACCTCAAGGTACATTTAGTAGTTCTGGTGCTTTTGATTACATCACATAATCTTCAGCAGACAAAGTTTGCTGCAGTGGTCACAGAATTGTAGTTGAACAAAATAAAAATGTTTATAAGCGCTTCAAATCCCCTGAAAAAGGATATCCCTACAACATGAAATATGAATGACTAAATAAGTAACAATCAAGTAAAAACCAACATCTTTATGGTATTATTTATTCATCATTAAGACTTTAAAGCTCCAGCAATTTAGTGGAATCTAGCAGAGTATTTGCAGATTGTAACTAAACTACAGTGGCCACAAAACGCATGAAAAACCACAAACAGGCCTATCGAGTCCAGTGTTTGGTTTGTCCATTCTGGGCTACTGTAGAAACGTGGAGGTTTTAATAACTGTTCTGGAGCTTTTGATCATATCACACGATCTTAATCAGTGCTAGGTGATCAAAAAAAAAGTGAATCTACAATTCCATGACAACTTGGCAGCAGATGAAGATCATTGGATATGACTGAAAGCTCCAGACAGGTCTGAAATGTACCTGACTTTCTCAGATTAACTGTCGGTCAGATTAACTGTCGGTTTGTTCTTGGTGTAACTCACTCGCAGTCTTTACCTGACAACAGTTGTCATGCAGTTGATATTCAAATTGAACACTTTTACACAGACCCAACGAGTAGGTGTCTAATTCAGACAGACACACACAGCTGCAGAGAAAAGCCTAATTCAGGCAACAGTCCCTCTTACTACTGCATTTTAACACAGTGGTTCCTAACCTGACGACCACTGACTGACATGTATAACTGATATTTCATGTTATATTCAGTACAGAACAGTAACAGTGCAGAACAAATGATAAATTACAATTAACTCAAATAGTGAACATTATAACTGCAGGAAGTTTGTGTAAAACGAGGCAATTTGAGCAGATAGAAAGTTTTCCTGCTATTTTTAGGAACTTTTTATACAATTGTGTCTGTTTGGTTTTTTTACTGTTATATTAGCTCTTTGGTTGTTTTAACTTCATACTTTTTTAATTCAGGATGAGGCTGTTTAGCAGAGAGGGACGCATCTGTGAATATAGCTTTTGTTCAGGTCCTTACCAAGTTATTAATATTATAGTTTTCTTTTCACCCCTTAAAATCAAGAAGGCCCTGTGACCACCTGTGAAGCTCTGGCGACCCCTAGTGGGGGTCTGGACCTCCAATTGGTAGTAAACAGCAGTAAACAGCTGTGGAGTTTTTAAAATATAAACTTGATAAAGAAAGATTAGAGAAAAGAAAGAGAGTTGAGGATTGGTATTATAAATTTATAGCAGACATTGTAGTCAGGTCTTTAAGTTGAGATATGTTCAGCACGTCTACTGGTAGATTATGAAGTGATCAATTCTGACTCAGATCATCAGTAGAGGAGTAAATACTTTACACAATATCCATTGTACCATATATAGTCCGTATATTGCTCATTAATTCTGGTTGTTGGATTTAGGTGGAAGATTGAAGATTTACATTGCAACACAAGATGGCAGTCTCACTCCATCGTGTGTGTTGTTCCTCACCACAGAGAGCTGCACTCTGGACTTCGCACTGGACTTATTAACTACAGGACACAAGTTGTATAAAACGGCCCTTTTTACATGCACACTAAACTGTGCACAGCTCACCAAACTGTAGTCCATACATTGTGTTGTTTCTGATAAAGTAAACTAGAATTTAACTTATATTCTGATTAATAACACTAATTTGCATTTGAGTCTGCTATAATTTTAAAGTGGTATTATAAATACACGGTTTCTTGTAATCTTACAGTGACTCTACCACTGATCTAAAATAATAATCCCCCCACATATTTTATTTCATGGCCCCTCATCTCCCTACCTACAGTGGGTAGAGTTTGGCCATTGTAATATAGAAAGAACATGTGATCTGTATGAGACAGCATTTACAGTACTGAGAGTACAACATGGACCAAGTGTTGACTAGCCAGCCAGCATCTAATCTTAGCCTGACCTTTACTTCCCCTCTTTGACCTTAAGCTGCAAAGCAGAGGCCAAGACTGGCATGCACTCGGGGTTGTGGTAGTTCAGCTATGCCCGGACCACTGGACTGCAGCCATAAAACACACCAGCAGTGTCCGGTTTTGGTGCTAAGCTAGATGTCTGCTAGCCTGCTGCAAAATGTGTTTCACTGTGTGAATCTGCTGAGGTGGAAAATAAAAACTACTGAATGTCATCTTTGGTCAAGTTGGATATGTAATGTATTGTACGTTCATGGTGACAAGATGCCATGCCATGGGTAAGGTTTCAATTCACTGTCAGGACTGTCTGCTGGTGAGGCCCAGTATGCAACTGGGGGGATATTTCCAGCAGGAATTAACTTAAAAGGCCTTCTGGTTTAAACTGGCACAGTCATTATTCTGATTAAACATTTCATAACATCTTCTGGAGTAATTTCTTTTCAAATACAAACACTGCTGCCAGACAAAAGAGTCAAAATACACTCAGAAAACTGACATGTCCAGGTCTTGTTATATTCAGTGTATAATTAATAAAAGTGAAGACAGCAGCATGGCACATTGCCGAGTGCAGCACTTTTATTCCGACAAAGAATGCTGTCTTTCAATGATGTGGGGTTTTTTTTTAGCATTCAGATAGTTATTAATTTCTAAATAACCTGAGTAAGCAACAACTCGGCTGAGTGAATGGTCTCCTCTGCACATGCGTAATGATCATGTGTTCATGTTAAGTAACTGAGACTCAACTTTTGATTTATGCTGAGGAGATGGAGAGGCGAGAGAGAAGAAAGGGTAGCTGTCCATTAATGGAAGGATTAGTTTAAAAATGGAATCTGATACAATTACTAACTACCTGTGAAAACCTGTAACCAGTAACCTAATCCAAGTTACACAACATTAAAGTAATGTAACTGCCAGAACAATGTAACTTTGAAAAAGAAAATGAAAACCAAGATTGAGTCACAAAAATACAACCTCTACCTCTACTCAGTGTATTTTTTAAAGAAAAACTTTTTTGTGAAACAGGCCTATCTAGAGCCAGTGTTTGGTTTGTCTGTTCTTGGCTACTGTAGAAACATGGTGGTTCAACCTTGCAAACAGCAGTTTACTCTCAGATTATGTAACTCAGTCACATATAATCTGTTACTACCCAAGCCTGTCCATAGCTACAGAGCGTCTGAAAGTGAAGGGTCGTGGTCTTTGAACATTAAATGTCACAGTTAGTAAGACAGAGATTTGATCCCTCGGGTTGCTCCCTCTGTGTCTCTGTGTGTCTGTATGAGAAGGTCAGTGAGGGACCCCTCTCTCTTTTCAGTCCACTATCTGAGGACTTTAATATCCAAGTATCTATATCTAGACCACTTAAAGGCGTGGGAGGTGGAAACGGGCTTGAAGAGACTGGAATGTCTGCTGAAACAATGTAAATCTAAACATCATATTTCAGAGTTTGAGGCCTATAATTTGCAGCAGAAATGTAACAATATGAGAGAAACTTCTATGATAAATAACTCACATTAAGTTGCAGAAGCCAGCTTCACATGTCTCTTTGCAGGCTGATGACCTTGACATTCAGGGGGGGCGGGGCAAGGAGCAGTGACCTATGAGGGGGGGCGTGGTTTTCAACTCTGGTTAATCATAAAAACACACAGCTAAACTTTGCTCTTCCCCACTCACACCCGGAGTCGCAAGACAGACTGAGGCTTCTCACAAACGGTAAATACCTTCAATAATTAAATGATTTCACTCAGAGAGGTTCAGGGTCAGGCTGCATGACTTGATTTAGATCACCTGGGGACAATCTGCATGGGCTTGATTGCAGCTAATTTTAAAGTATAACTGGTCATATAGTTCATAGAAATTAACTTTGTTTAATTTTAACTCTTGTTTTAAATGCACTTCTTGCTACTTATGAGGATGTAAATCATACTTTTCAGTGTGTATATTCAGTACGCTGTACCCTTGAAGGGGAAAGTTCTGGTTTGCAGATTTGCATTGAAATGTACTCAGGTCACAGGCCGCTTATCAGTGGAATACTTTGCATTTTTGTTTAAACTCTTTGCTTATCTCAAAGCAGAGTCCTGAGTACTGTCTGTCATCAAGTGAAAGCTAATATATGGCATCATAAATGG